ACATCACATAATAGATAATATGCCAATAGTAGTATCATCTAGTTACAGAAGAATGGATGGATGAACAAATGGACAGACAGCGGGTTGGAATAACAAGACCAAAACTAAAACATATTTTATTTTGAAAATCTAAGGCCCATTCAGTGATAATTTGGCCTAAAACAAAAAAGGCCAATTTTTTAAGACCCTACAAATCTCCCATGCCCCCCCCCTGGATCCGCCAGTGATATGTATATTGCATTGAATTTACCCAAAGGGACAGGGATATATGTATAAAAAATAGAGATGCAAGGATAGTGGTAAAAACATTTTTGTAACACAGAGAAAGTGAAAAAATATTTTTGAAGTATTTTTGAGGACATATCTTTCTTATTTGACTCAATAAAAGCTGCTGGAGGGCACACTAACTATAAGGACACATGAAAATATAGGTAAGTTTCATCTAAACTACTTGAGAGTTGGTGAGTTAACATAAAGTAGGAGGGAAATTAGCGCAGTTGGCTATTTTCTGAGGATTTAAACAGGTGCATATGTTAAGCCAATGCATTACCTCCAGGAAAAGCACTACTAGAGATGATAAAATAATTTCAACTTTGAGGCAGGGTAGATTCAAACAACCCAACCACATGTTTTTTCTGAAATGTTTTCCTGATTTTCAACCCCTTCCACTCCGGTTTTTATATTTTTTCTTGCATAAATATATTGTGTTTTGACATACAGTTAACCCCTTTAAAGGAATAAGTGATTCCTTTTAGATAAAGTGGAAAACAATATTTCCCATGTTATTTTCCCATAGAAAAAACTCATGAAATCCCTGGCTTTCAGCTAATTTTGGTCACCCATAATAGATATCTTTAAAACCCCTGTAGGAATTACATTTCAGAAAAAACATGTGGGTGGGTTGTTTGCACCTCCCCTGTCTCAGAGTCGAAATTATTTCATCATCTCTATGAGTGCTTTTCCTGGAGGTAATGCATTGATCTAACATATTATGCACCTGTTTAAATCCTCAGAGAATAGCCAAAATCAAACATATGACTATCTTAAATCTGTTGCACTAATTTCCCTCCTCCTTTGGATGATCTTTCCAATGGTATATCACACTGACTAGGTACCACCTATTAAGGATTTGGCTGAAGAGGCGGGAAATTGACACCTTGTATGTTAACCAATTTTCTAAAGTCCGATACCACATAATTTTTATGACCCAAAGGTGAACACTCATCAAATCATCACTCCTACATTATAGAATGGGGCAATGACATTTAACACTAGCATAAGTATGACAGGTTCATTAACATTAACACACAAGTAGTGTGTAATAACAGGTTTTATGCAAGTAAAATAGATACAGCTGTCCTATATGCTTTTCTGCAATAAATAAACAAGCCAATATTATGTTGATGTACAACAAGGAAGAAAAATAATCTCAGCATGTTTGTATTGCTATAGTAGTATGCAGCATATATGGTATTTATTAATTTTTTCTACTGCGATCAGATGTCCCTCTTTTGGGGATATAGAATAGCAAAACTCATTTATATTCACTAACAAGACAGAACAGTAAAAAGGCCAAGATATAAACTAATAAGTCGGCAACTCCATGGAGTAGCAAATCCCAATAAACACTATATTCATTAATCTGTATATTATTATATCAAAATGTAGTATTTACCATCTACTGCCCTATACTCTACTACTGCTATTTTAATTGGCATGATATTAAAAGGCATGCATTAGAGAAATATCAGAATTTCCACCATTAAAGCATATGGGTGACCACTTGGGGGTTTCAAAGGCACGATTCAAATCAACATTTGAGATCTAAATATAGTATTATATGTAACAGTTCCCATACTTTGAAAAGATCTCTATGTAATAGCAAATTCCTGCTCTAGGCAGCCATTTTGAATTTTATAGGGCATGAATAAGAAAAACAATACCATAATTGTGATCTACTTTAAAATCCCTTCAAAATTGAGTATAATAGAGCCATACTTTGAATAGATGCAAATCTTTGAAAAACCATTGCGAAATCGGCCACATTAGTGGCCATTTTGAATTTTAAGGGGCCCAATCAAAAAAAGATTCAATATTAGCAATCTACTCTAAATTGCTTTCCATTTGAATATAATAAAGCTTCAGAGAAACCTTAAAGGATTGGTATCGATATGGAGAACTGAATTCAACAATGTTTTTCTCTTAAAATAATTATTGAAAACATTCTGTAAAATAACACAGTCCTGTATGTAATGTTGACTGATTGACAGCAATTTAATGCAAAAATAATTGATATATATTTTATATAACTGTTTTTGTTAACATTTTTTGTTTTTAGTACAATTGTTTTTTTGTTCCTTTTTACCATTTCTTGAGAATGAAATAAAGTATCTTTCCGAAGCTTGTTTGAACAAAATAGCATATACAACATTTTCTTAGACTTCCCAATATTATAGTTGTACAAAGGAAATTTTGGTTAATTTAACAAAAAGAATTCAAGAAATTAAAACAAAAACCCGCGAAATAGATAAAAACTAAGATAAACCTTTAATTTTATTAACTTTGAAATCAACGAAAATGTCCCTTGTATTATTACAACATTGAGAGACATAAACACGTTGTGTTCCATTTTGTTCCAATGAGGTTCGGATAGATGTTTCATTTCATTCCGAACATATGATACCAATTGTCAGATGTGTTTTCATAATACATTATATAGAGAAAAGTATATATATCTATTTCAAATTATATTGTTCCCATTCAAAACATGATCATTAAATTGACAATGTGTAAAATTTTCAGAATTCTTTGATGACTGGTTTAAGAGAAACGTGTGTTCAAAAAGTTCACCATATCGATACCGATCCTTTAACAAAATGTCCAGTTTTCTCAAACCCCGTCCCCATCCCCATTCATGGCCCCTTCAGGTAAGGCTGAAAAACACAGAATATTGTCAAAACATATGCCAAGGTAGGTGTAATTAATTTACATAAGTCACAATTCAGAGATAAATGAAATTTGAACTTTTTAATTTTTTTGCACATATTAATATTACAGCCTAATATATTGTACCTAAAATAAGAGGAGGAAAAACCCCAAAGCTTAGAGATTACAGACATAATTACGTCTCTTGCTTAACATCTTCATCTGTCCACACTTTCCATGGCGAGTTTCCAAAAACTACATGTTGTTATGTTTTCACCAATGTTAACATTTTCCTTACATCTTTATCTTGATATAAAAAACAAGTTATGATATTGGTTACCATGCAAGAAATTAAAACATAATAACACAATATTATTCCAACTGTTTTTAGAAAATTTTGAAAATGCCATTCAATGACGTCATTTGTCTGTCGATTTGACAAATCAGCGACAGTTTTCTCAATACACATTTACATTATGGACTCATGTCTTTGAGCAGTATTTGAACTCACATGGGAATATAATATAAAATAAAATATAAATGATATTAGTCCGAGGGTATTTGAATTATTGCCCAGATGGATGGATGCATGGACAGAGCAGTTCTCTAAATATTCCCCAAAACATCATTCGATGGGATAGTAAACTGAACCAGGATGCACTTTTCATTATCTACAGAAGCAGAGGATGCTCATGTTTTCAAAATGTTGACAAAACTCATCATTAATACAAAACTTGGTTACTCCTATAGATGGGAGGTCACAAGTTGATTGTTGGGTGATTCCTTTCATCATAAAGAACATAACATGTAAATATTCAGGAGCTTCACTAGTATCCATCACAACAGGTTAAATAAATGAAAACAACAGGCAAAATTAATGGAAATCATAAATTTAACATGGAAAAGTTGAAAAGGTCCTGAAAATTGCCTGTTGCCTGCTGTTAATGAAACCCCTGATTATCCCGTGCCAGGACTACATAGTCCTGAGAATGTCTCAATCTTTTGCCTGTAGGATTACAACATGGGAGAATTTTCTACGCCTCGTACACTTAGGCTACTTCAATAGATTCCTGGGTATTTAATAGCATTCTTTTCGTGTAGTTGAATCCACAATTATCTGGGCTTATCGGCAGAAGCGCAAACAATTTTGGCCCCAAAAATTTTGTAGGGCCTAATTAATTGGGCATTTTGGGTCATTACTTGGCCTTTTTAGGCCTTTTAAGGCCCTTGGGGAGTCAAAAAATGTTTTCCGCCTATTTTCAAATTTGAAATGTGGACCCCCTGGTTAGCTTCTGGATCCGCCAGTGGTCCCCCCTCCCCTTGCCAAAAATTCTTTAAAAATCATGCAGTTTTTCACCATTCTATGCACTTGTCAAGTGATTTTGGCACTTTTTGGGCCAAAGTTTTCAAAAGTTAACCCCTCAGGAATTTTTATAAAAGTGAACCCCTGGCAAATCCTGGCTGGGCCTGCAAGATCGCTTCCATTTTACAGTCTCTTCCCTTGAAATTTCTAATTGACCTGAATCCCAGACTCCCAGAGTCAAGTCTAAATTGTAGGATCGATACAAAAATAATTTAGATTTCTGACTCTGGGCCCCTCTCAGCTACAAACAAGCAAGACCAGCAAGCTTATGCCAAGCTTGTCTCTCTCAGTGACAAATTACAAAATGTATCATGTTTTGAATTGAGAACTCATATTCAAAACTTCATTTTTACAGCATTTACAAGATCTGTCTCAGTATTAGTTGTCAAAACGTTGAGATAACTTTCATTAATAAAACATGCATCTATTATAAGCAAAGAAAATGTGCTCTCTTTTATCATTTATGAGTTTTATGTAGAGAATATTCACCCACCTGTTTCTGTGTTTTGATCTGAGGCAGAGGAGTCAACTTTGAACTCTGACCTCACAAGTTCAAATTACGACATAATAAATGTGTATTTTCAAATATCAGCATCTTTGCACTGTTTAGTTGACATAAAGTACTTGAAAATAGATAAATTGTAAGCTTTCAATCAACTGATCTGGTTTATAGTGTTTTAATTAACTGTATTTTGATTTGAATAGACCGGAAATGGAACTATCGTCAATCAGTCGTTTCAACACATGGAAAATGGAAAGCGAAGAAACTAAAAATTCAACTTTCGCTGGCCTTGGGCTCAATGATTGGCTTGTTGACCAAGTAAACGCTTTGGGGATGCATAGACCATCACCCATTCAACATTTCTGTGTACCGAAAATACTGGATGGTAGGTCGCTTATGCTGTGGATATCGTTCCAAAATATTTTTTTTAGAAAAATAAAATTAAAAAAAAATTAAAAAATACAAAATCCGATACGATCTAGTCTACATGACAAATAAGCCGTGGGTTTTCGAACTAAATAGAATGTTCCTTCCGAAATAGATGTTGGAAGGGGAACTAATATACCAATAGTCTAGATCACAGGAACTTGTAGTACCATGATACGAGATGCTTATGTCAGATCTGAGTCATTTATATTATATACATATAAATGACTCAGATCTGACATAAGCATCTCATACCATAGTGCTAGGAGCTCCTGTGGTCTAGATGGAGGTAGAAACACTGCCTGAACAAGGGTTTTCAATGGCCTGAACAAGCATTGGAGCGCAGAAGTATTAGTCTTCGAATTGGATCAAATATAATGTATAACCCCTATTTATCAGGCACTATCCCAGTTCTTTGCCTTATCAGGTTATATGTATTATAGGTTCAGATTGTATTGGGTGTGCAAAGACTGGAAGTGGCAAAACTGCGGCATTTGCTCTCCCAATTCTCCAGAAGCTTTGTGAAGATCCATATGGTATATTTGGACTCGTCATAACACCTACAAGGTAAGCATATTGTTTGTACTGTAGTATAGAAAAGTTTGAGTGAAGCATTGTTTTAATATCTCTTGACTTACTCATGGAAAAGCATGTCATAAATTTTTTTATGCAATAAATATACTTTTGGTCAGAGCCACTGCAAAGAGAACAATGGATTTTTACGCACTTTTTACCCATCTTGGCCTGCTTGGGTAAAGAAAATTATACATTAGCCCAATATTGTTTATTTTCAGAGAGCTCGCATTCCAGATAGCCGAACAGTTCAATGTTTTGGGAAAACCTATAGGAATAAAGGTGATTGTTATCACTGGGGGAAGAGGTAAATGTATGATTGAGCTAAAGAATAAATCAGAATCATGGATTAAATTTGATGGATTGAGATTTTGGTTTTACATCAAGTAAATGCTTGTTCGCAGAGCATACAAAAATCACCTAAAATAAGAATCAGTTGTGAAGTATACTGTATAAAATGAATAGATAAATGGTGTTGTTAAAATTTTCAACCATGTAAATAGTCCCTAACTCACTGATTCATTTAGCTGTATTTATACTCTTATACTTGTAGATTCTGTCTTACAAGGAATTGAACTATCACAGAAGCCCCATATTGTCATTGCAACCCCTGGACGCCTGGCAGACCATATTGAAAACACACAACATGTGAGCTTTAAGAAGATACGATTTCTGGTAAGTCCTTGTGTAAAGCTTTTTTACTACATAGTACTATGTATTGCCTTGTTATATGTAGACAACCCACCCATCTGTTTGTTCTTTGTTTGTTCATCTGTCTGTCAAGCACATAGGTCAAATACTGGTTGACAGATTGTGCTTCAATTTTAAAGGCTGATGTCTTATGAGGAAATTTTCAATATGGCTAGCCAATTCAAAATGGCTGCCATTTGTGTAAAATATATTGATTAATATGGTGGCTCGTCCTGGTATAAACTCACATTCAGTTCATATTCAAATAGAGTGAGCAATATTCTGTTAAAGCCACACATAGACATTTTACCTAAAATTTAAAATCCCCAAAAAGTAATAAATATGACACTGTGCTATAAAAAATGAGATAGAGAAAATATTGTGGCTCAGAAATAAAGAAAAAAAGAAAACATGATATGCCACGGCCGGGATTCGAACCTGCAAAATCAAGGATGCAAGACTGATTCCCTAACCACTCTGCCACGGCCTCAGCTCAACATTCATGATGCATTTTTAGTATTCATTCTTAATTTCAGAAAAATGTTTTTCCTCTACACCACAATTATTAAATAGTAGTCAATAATCATGGTAATAATATTACAATACATATCTGAGTAAATATTCTAAGCCAAATTCAGAATCAATGCTGTTAATCCAGTTTTCATTTTGAGAATCTACTTCCTGTCATGACTGTCAAAAAAACATGGCTTCCAAAACAAAATTCTTGCTTCCAATTCTCAAAATGATCTATATTCATGGATCAGATAATTTTGGCACCTGAAACCATCCTAATAGAAAGGTTAGACTATTTTCTTGGAAAGTATTTCTTGAAATCCCCAATTTCGGCCTCTGAAGTGTAAGAAAGTCACTTTAACAACTTTAACAATCAAATTCATTGATGATAAACTGTGAAAAGAATACCTTAAGATTGTTTAGTCATGATGAATACAAAAAGTGTACCATTATGAAGAAACTTCTTTAAGAAATTGTGCAATGAATATAGTAAAACCTGTATTAGTGAGCACCTTTCTAAAGTGAACACTAGACACATTCTTAGTGAATGTACATTGAATGTCATTTTAATGCTTTTTAATGAAAAGGTCAATTCATTCGTCAAATTACTTTTATAAGAAAGCACAATATTTTGATTCTGGGTTTAAAAGGCAATGTGCATTTTTATATGATAACAAACATAACAAAAATGTAAAATATACATTAGTTTTATTAAAATAAGTAAGTATAATAAAACATGATAACAAATATATAAAATATACATTAATTTTATTAAAATAAGTTGATAATTATAATTATTATTATATCACTGTTATAGTCCCCACTCTCTGATTTAGTCTATCAAATAATATTCAACAGTCAAACCTAGTTCAATGTAATTCAATGTTAAGCTAGACAGTGATATAATAAAACAAATATTTAATTCTATTCTCGGTGAATACCTATGGCACTTTCCAAAGATGATATTCTACTAGCCCTTCGGACTTCATGGAATATCACTTGTATAATAATCAATAACATTTACAAACATGATAACAAAGGTATAAAATATACAAAATTTCATTAAAATAAGATGATACCTATGATTTAACAATTGAATATTTATGTTTGTATATATTTTAAACTGGAGCATATAATATATACAATAAATTAAAATATGACTATCATTTATACAGCACATGGCTGTATAATACATGTCTTTATATTCAACAGCTCACTCGTTGCATAATGGCTACAATTACTTTCATTAAAATATGACTATCATTTATACAGCACGTGGCTGTATAATACATGTCTTTATATTCAACAGCTCTCTCATTGCATATTCTACAATCTGATTTATCTCATATGAGGTTAATGTTTTCATATGACTTTAAGTTTTCAATTTATTTATGGTTTGCGTTACTATATTATTGCATAAGTTATAGACTCTTTCCTTTGGTCAATAAGTGACTTAATAATCTGGTCAAACCAATGGTTTATCATTAGCTTTTTATTTAGACATGATTTAATTTCAAATGTTTGTTACATGAATTTGGAGAAGGTTGGCTGAGATTATTGTTTCATAATTTAGCAGTTGTACTGTTTAGAAGTGCTTTAAGGAGGTTGGTAGCATGTACAGCTGAGCCCCAGCTTAGGGTGATCCCAGCTGCTCCATGGCCATAGTTGTGTACCACCTGAAAATAAGGTTACATTAGGTTGATAACATGTATAGCTGAGCCCTATGCCATGGCCCTAGTTGTGCACCACCTGAAAATAAGGTTACATGGGATTTAAGTAGCATGTACAGCTGAGCCCCAGCTTAGGGTGATCCCAATTGCTCCATGGCCATAGTTGTGTACCACCTGCAAATAAGGTTCGTCGAGATTAATGTTTCATAATTTAACAGTTGTACTGTTTAGAAGTGCTTTAAGGAGGTTGGTAGCATGTACAGCTGTTGTGCTACAGTTGTTGTGCATCAGTCATACCTTCCACAAAACATGAGATATGAAATCAATGTTTTATAAATATAGATTTGAACTCGTAGAAAGAGTAACTTTCCCAATTTATCAGTCAAATGAAGAATTTTTAAAATTAAGTGATTGTGTTCAGTTACAGAAATGTTAATCTGCTACTTACTTAATGATGAAATATATTAGCATGTATCTCATACTTGAGTAGTTTTGGGGTAGATATCATCCGGGAATATATATCATATCTGAGGAGCGGGCAGGATATATAATATATGTCCCACTCCAGGCTAGTTGTGGTCAGATATAATATATCCAACCCACTTCTGGGCAGTGTAATGATGCATTGTGGGACTTCTTCAGACGAAAAATAAAAAATACATCTGAAATTCGAGTGGAATTTTGTAAAAACATGGAAAAATAACACGAAAATGACACTAATTTGAGTGATAAAGAAGGAGCTACCAACCGAAGATTCAAAAACCAAATTGATGTTGAGGATTTTCTATCTTCTACTAGAAAATGAAACAACCCCTAACCGACTCAAGTATGAGATACACCAGTTATGTACTATCTTTTTTGTTTTGGATATAGGGTTCATCCCTCGGGAAATATTTCTATCTCCTCTTGAAATATTTATATCTCCTTGGGTCCATCAGGGAGATATAAATATATCCCTCAGGATATACCCTATTTCCAAAACCTCTCAGTACATAACCCTTATATATATACCTTCTGTGCTTTGCCATTGATCCTTTCGATTTGAGCCTCGATTCTTGGAGTTGGCCTTGCTGGCCTTTGGCCCACCCAGTCCCATTGGAATTCTGCTTTCTGAAATGTGAATGTCAGTTAAATTGTTTTAAATACAAATGTGTGACCACAATGGCTGAAGTGGGAAAATTAAAAGTGCTTAATGCTTGACTAAAAATATCTACTTACGGCTAAACTTGGCACAAGTGTACAACAGTTTTTAAGGATCTCATCCCTTGTTTCTACTCTTACAACTGTATCTTCATCATCAACCAGCATTGTGCCCCCAAGTGTCACATTGTCTGCACTGGAGTCAGAAATATTAAGTTGTTATGAAACTTGATAAAGTTTCAATGTCAGGTATTACTTGTCAACATTAGAAAGGGAGTACTTTATATATTTCAATCATGAAGATCAAATAATTCAGAGTTCATTGACAGATAATGATTGAAAAAGTACCAAAACATTATAACATATGGAACTTTTTATGGGCACTTTAACTGTTGTAATCTTACCCAGGAATTACATATGCCACATTTTGGGTGTCATAGTAGAAATGTTTAACCCAGGGTGCCTTCACCTGCAAAGAAGGAAAATTATGAATATTTTTATGTTCATAATAATTTGAGTGATAAAGATTAGGTTATTATTTGTATGTAGCCCCGAAGTATATTTCACATTTCAAACATTCAAACCAAATTTTATTTGTGGGCATAGTGACTCATCCTTTTCAGGATATAGAAATTATATCCTGTCTCCTGCTGTATCTCCTGCATGAATACTTCCAGAAAAACATGTTTCTTTTATTGTAGAATGAAATGATTTACTTCACTCAAAAAAAGCTATTTTATTTGCCTGGTGATTGAATTTGATGTTTTTAAACTTACCCTAAAAACCTGGCCCCTTATTGGATACATCCTTGCATCACCAACTAGTTCCCGACTTCCCATTCCTGAACAATTTACTATAATTTCATATGTGCCTCTTATATCTCCTAGCGTTGAAAGCCTCTTTTTGATAAGTTTACCACCATTTTTAATGAACTGCTTAGTGATCCATGGAAGATATTTTCTACCTTCCACAATGAGTGTTGTCACAAATTCACCATATTTGTAACCAAATTTTTCTAGCTCTTTGTCTGTGCATTTTCTATAGTGGTATATAACGACTTATATGTTGGATCCTGAAAAAATACCATAGAAACAAAATAGCTTGCAAATTATAAAAGTTGTTATCTACAGGGTGCAACCCTCCCCTCCCTTCAATTTTTCATTATAAAACAAGCCCCCTGCCAGGAAAAAAATAGAACACCCCATTGGTAAATCCTGGCTACGCCCCTGAAGAAGCATCAGAGAGTTGACGAGAGATAAGAATGATGATTTAGAGCCATTACACAAGACATATATCTGTAGGCATGTAGTCAGAACAGCTTCACCAGTGCATTCAAATTAGCCTCCAGCGAAGAGACTGACATTTTGAGGATGTTTTGTAAAATAGCCATTAAATCGTTAAATTAATAGACCAATGAAACTTGGTGGAATGAAAGAACATTGAACAAGTTTTGATTGTGCAAAATATGATTTTAGACCCATGCTGGATGCATCACTTAGTTACTAACATTTATTGTACAAGTACTCACTTTTGGTCCATCATTGTGTAATACATAGCCAGATAAGACATGTATCCCTGCAGAACTTGCCTCAGCTGATGATGCTAGAGAATCGTAATGTTTCCATCCTTCACCCAGCCATAGTCTACAAGTGAACAGAGTTTAACCACTATATGTTTCCAAGTGTTCTTCGGACTAGGATTTTTTGTGTCTCAAACTATAAATTTAAAACATATGATCAGGAGGTAATAAACTATATAGAACTAGCCATAGCCTTGCTATTATCTGATCTTGAATTATTACCGCCTTGTACAATCCAATACACCTGCGCTGATATTATGCAGAGTTATTCAACGGTTTCGAGATTTCCATAATACCTACGCTATCAGGGGTATCGCGAAACCTTATTGATACACGTGGACACGATGTGTGACTTCAGGCTGATTGACCAATCAAAAACGTTATCAGGTTGACCTGCATAAGCAAAGCAATCTTCCCGATTTGAAATTCAATGGCCTGATCGTTTCTTTAGAGTTGCAATATATTATGTGATTTAATGTACATAGGGAATGTAAGAGTCATTAATATAAATTAAATCATGCAATAGATTTAAAACTGATTTCGCGATGAAAATGCAAGACCGAGTCCAATGTAGCGGGTCATGTAGTCGATCAGTGATTGAATCTCAGCCTACATGTTCATTTGAATTCAGCGATCGTTTCAACGTTTATTGTTGAAATCTTCTCACCTCCGGTTACCGATCGATGCTCCGGCATCCACTAAACTCTGATTGATATTTATCTGATAAAATATTTGTATTTTCATGATGAATTCATGCAAGATTTGTTCGTGAAAAGTCCCGGCGAAAAGTAAAAAGTGTACTTGTTTTTGACCGTGCATAATAATGAGCTAACGCTGCAGGGCCGTCGTTGATTGGTCAAATTTTACCGACATAAACATTGAGTCGGTAAAGCACGTGGCTTTCTCTTTGGTACAAGGCGGTCATAATAGAAATCAAGATAGTAAAAGAGACCGACTTGGGCAAGGCTAAACTAGCCAATGCTTTCCTATATATCAAATAGCTGCATTTACATGCACAATATAAACAAGACTCTATATAATTTAATTGGAAGCCTTCTCGTAGATTCATTTTTATTGTCCCATATAATAAAATTATCAGAGAATTATTCTCCTTGAATAATTCTAATTCTTTATCATAATTAATGTAAGTCATTTGAGCTTATTAGATAGAAATTTTTCAGACTGAACATATCAAAACAAATCTTGAAAAAGTTGCTCAAACCAAAATTAAGATTATAGAGAAAATAAGAATATTTGATATTCATTATTACCTAACAATGTCCTCAGGTATATCGGGAGGAGGTTTTTCCACAAGGAAAATCCCAGCTGCCCCATCGCTTGTAGTGTCAACTCCAAACCTATCAGCATAAATTGTCACCTCAGCACCATCTATCTTCCGTTGTATATTCACTGCTGTTGATAATCCAACAATTCCAGCCCCAAAACTGCAATTCTCACCATTTTCATAAACAGCCTAGTATTTTGATGAGTGATATAAAAAATAGATGCTGAAGTGAGTCAATGTATGCCTTTATGCATATTGATTTGTATATCAGCTTGACCTTGGATCTATACTGTATATTCACGCTCAGCTCAGCTTAAACAGAGTAAAGAATATTCTGTAAAGAAAAAGTGATATTAGAAAATGAATTAAGATTGTGCATAATAAAAACTGTAAAGAATTTTTACAACCAAATTCTTTGATAAAATGTGAAAGGAACATCATTTTAAATAGATTCACACTGCATTCATGGAGGCAAAGAGGGAATTGAGGTCGACTAATGTAAGCTGCAGAACAGCTGTTTATCTCCAAGGCATGCTCAGTAGCTTGTTGTTATGATAAACAATATGGCTAATGTGCCTGTTGAGATTCCTCTAGATTCCATGGTTTTATAGAAGCCACAATTGTAGAGTCGGGGCAATCTGCGCGTGATTCGGTTTTTACTTGGTTCGGTTTTTCATTAAAGAAAGTACTTCATTCCCATGATTCAAAGTGCTTTTCTGCCATCGGATCGGTTTAAGTTTGTACAACACACGTCTACAAATCCGGGGCTATTGATATTATGTCATTGCATTTGTTTTGGGTGTATACCTTTTGTTTTGACACTTAACAAAAATATTCCCGCTCTATATGGTGCATCATGGGTAGGGACTGCTGTGAAATAATGAACGTAAGTGACATCTATCTCAAATTAAATGTTCTTATTAGTTATCGATTGCGCATGCGTGATAAAAATTTGAACCAATTACATTGCTGGATTTGATGCGCATGCGCTAAAAACCGAACCAAAAAATGGAATCTCGCGCAGATTGCCTCTAGTGCAATTGTAGGGTTTATTTTATTGCCATATTCATCAGATAATTTATGAGTCTGTATCACTTTAAACACTCATTTTAACAGACTTTTTTCACCAACTTGTTACTCTAATAGCCCCAAGCCTGATTTTCCAAACCTTCTGTCTATTCCTTAGTAGCTAAGTTCAGTGATTCAAATGGTTGACAGATTTGGTTCAATTTTTATAGACTTATGCCTTACCGGTGTAGAACCTCTTCTGGAAAAGGAATTTAGAAGGCTTATATCTTATGGGCAGCAGACCTCTGCTCAAGGAGCTTTTTTTCAATATGACCACTCATTTCAAAATGTCTGGTATTTTTCATTAAAAAATTTCAAGTTTTTTTTTTTTTTTTTTTTTATTCTTCTTTATTCAATTTTAGTACATACAAATTACACATGTAATGACTGCCGAAGTTGAAAAACATTGGTGGCAGTTTTTATTTAACAAACATAGTAAAATTATAAAAAACAAAAAAAAACTAAAGGGTGGTGTCAGGTTTTCTGTCTGGGGTGTTTAGGCAATAAGCAGAAAACAAATTAAATAGTTATTTACAGCTGAATACAAAATTGGCAGTAATCTGCAGCACAGCTTGGTTTTCTTCAATATTTAGTTCGTCATTTCCATTTAGTAGAAATTCAATTTTGTTTCGAACATTTGAATCTAGAAAAATTTCAATTGCATTTAGCTCTGAAAGTTTTGCAAGTAGAGTTAGTCTTTCATTGATATGTAGGTTGCAGTGAAGGAAAAAGTGTTCAGTAGTTTGTGGTTTTCCACATTGACAGAGGTCATCCAAAATTCCAGGAAAGTTATGAGCATATTTATGTGATTTTAAAAGAAATCCTACTCTAAGCCTGTTCAAACTAATTTCATAAAATCTATCAATATCAATATTTTGACAATTTGTAAATATCTTTGGTTGGGTTGAGAAGTTTCTTTTGACATGATTTTTAAAGGTGGATATTGTTGGTTGACATCTCAATTCAAATGGGAGTGAATTCCAAATATTTATGCATGAAAAGATACAGGAATTTCTAAATTTAGCTGATATATTAGTAGGTAAGTGAAAATCAACTGGATTTCTAAGTTGCATATGTAATCTGGTTGGTCTATATTGTTGAAAAATTTCTGATATATAAGATGGCATTTGACCTAAAGATAATTTGTACATAAACGTTGCTATGTGTGATTTACGTCGGTCAACAAGTTTGTCCCAATTTAGTAATTTCAATACCGAATTTGTATTTGAGCCATGTAAACACCCTGATACAATGCATGCAATTCTGTACTGGAGTCTCTCAAGTCGGTCAAGAGTTAATTTGTTACCAGTATGATAAATAATGTCATGAAAGTCAAAATGTGGCCGTATAAATGATTCCGCTATCCTAGAAAGATGTTTACTTTTAAGTTTATGGCTCAATGCACGAAGTGGATTTGTCATTTTTTGAACTTTATTCAATAAGTTTTCAATGTGCACGTCAAAATTTAGAATGTCATCCAGGTGCATACCTAGATGTTTGTGACTATTTACTTTTGGCAGAGTTTCACCATTAAGTGTCAAATCAGGGATATTATTTAAAGTACTTCTTGGTCGTCTGAAAATGAGATCAGCACTCTTTGCTGCTTTAAATGCCATTTTCCAAGTATTTGACCATTCAGAAAGTTTGTTCAAATCATCTTGTAAAAGGTCAATGGAGTTAGGATCATTTTTGGAGTATGGATGATAAAGTGATGTATCATCAGCATAGAGAAAGCAAAGGGAATTTAAATCATCTGGCAAGTCGTTTATATAGATTAAAAATAATAACGGTCCAAGAATTGAGCCCTGTGGGACACCTGCATTTATTTGACCAGGAAGTGAGAAATTTGATTGTATTCCATTTATTGTGACTTTAATTTTTCGATTTGATAGGTACATGGTTATAAGGTTAAGTAGTGACTGTGAAAGTCCATATCGTGATAATTTATGCAAAAGTAAATAATGGGGGACGGAATCAAACGCCGCTGTAAGGTCGAGGAAAATTGTACGAACATTATTTTCATTTTCAAGTTCATTGTTTATCTTATGGATGATGGAAATCAGTTGGCCTGTAGTACTATGACCTTTTAAGAACCCAGACTGCAATTTATAAAGTAAGTTTTTAGACAAGAGAAAATTACTTAAATTGTTATATATAACTCTTTCGTAAACTTTTGATATACAGTTGAGCAATGTTATCGGTCTATAATTAGAGCAGTCTGATCTTTTCCCTTTTTTGTAAATCACCGATACATTTCCCTCCTTCCAAGAAGATGGGAAGAAGTCATTTTGTAAAAATTTATTGAAGAGCCTAGATAGTGGTATCTTTAGAGAGTTTGCATTAATTTTGAGCATTTCATTACTAATATTGTCAAGTCCAGGAGCTTTATTGTTTTCTAACGAATGTAAAATTTGAACGATTTCTTCACTGTTAGTTGTAAATTGATGTAAAAGTTGGTCAGTTCTATGATCAAATGGTGGAAGTTGGACACTTTGCTCTATACTGCTTTTTCCAATGAAATATTCCAAGAAAAGATTTGCTTTTTGAAGACTTGTGACAGCTGATCTATTTAAATTATAATTATATAAAACAGGGATGAGATTACTGAATTTTTTACCCAAAAGATCCTTGATCATTGGCCAATATTCTTTCGAATTAGCAGATTTTTCTTGAGTTTTTTCACAATATTCATTTTCATAATTTGTCTTTTTATTATTTATATGGTCAATAACTAATTTGGATTGTTCTTTAAATTGATTAAAGTGGTCTAACTTTG